CAAAACATTAACTCAAAATTTGGGGGTTCGCAAAATTCCCAGAAAAGGTGGGTTCAGATTTTTTTAGTCAAGAATTTTTTTTTTTGGGGGGGGTTCGCACGAACCCTCCGAACCCCCTCTCCCTACGGCCCTGTTTAAGATGGTCTATTTTAAGTAATCTGGCAAAATAACCAGGCCAAGGTTACATTTACAGGTCACATTTATAAGTAAAGGTCACATTTTAGGTAAAGGTTGTTCTAATGGTATTTTTAGATAGAATAAAAATGTAACCAGTTAGTCCAACCTCCCTCCTTATAAGTTAAAGCTATAACACATCATGCTTGCAGTTTTATAGCTTAGAAGATGGGATGTTTTCATCTTATTAGTACTAAAGAATAATCCAAAGAATCATACATTACCTTTTAAAATATCTAAACATATCCTGCCAAGTTTATCTATATTCGGATGATATATCTTGGTCATAAATCTGACTTTTGGAGCTGACATAGGATATTCCTCAGGCAGAAATAGTTCTAGTTTAAATACACCATGTTCGTAGGGAGACTGAAAACAAAACAGTTTGGAGGTTTGAAACATTCAATCAAAACATTAAATTTTCTATCAGAATTTTTTTTTGAATCAAATGACAACATCTTTTAAGAAAAACTATAAAACTATATCTTAGACAATCAAACTTATTCCATAGTTAGCATGATATTCATAGGATAACATGTGAAAATAAAAACTAAAAACGGTATTTTTGTAATCAGTGGTAAAATATGATATTTTTGACAAATTTTCACTTAACCATAGCATACGGTTTTTTTGCTACTTCAGACTCAAAACGAGGCTAAGTGTCAACATCGCTGGATCGTTTGGAAAATTCGAATTAAATGACTTAATTTCCGACGATTCTGATGATGACTTTAACTATGGAATAAAAAGAACATCCTATGATTTACTCGTGATATGATTTTAATCCACTCATGGTTATTGATATCTGCACTCTCTCGCTACGCTCGCTCGTGCATATATTATATCCATTCGTGGATAAAAATCATATCACTCATAAATCATAAAATATCCTCCATTTATCATGTTTCTAAGACATTCAAGATAACAGAAAAAAATATTGGTGAACACAGTGTGGCTACTTACATCTTTGGGGCCTGCAACAATTACATGGAAATATCGGGCATTATGTTCATCTGGAGATGCACTTATACCAGGAACTGGTTCTGCCATTAACCGCTGGGTTTCCTACAGAGAAGAATATTTATTTTACACCAAACAAAATGCCCATCATGTAAATCAACAAGCACTATTATTTTCATTGCAAATTGGATATTTCATTGCAATACACTTGTTGCACTTTTCATAGAGACCAATAAGATCATGATCATAAGAACAATAATATACAATGCACGGATTAGTGATGCTTGACTGATAAGTGGAGCATTGCTTAACAATAGAATCGAAATAAAATAGAATTTTAGTGATTTATTCTAATATGTGATTAACTGCAATTACAATCGTCAAGACAAAATTTAATCCTCAAAATAACCCCACATTTATGGGGGTAGCAATATCCTGCCAAGGAAACGTGACCTCATCGAGAACTGGCAGTTAGTTCCATACTGAGTTTGTTATTTACTTATCTCCCAGAAACTCATCAAATTACATGTCATAATCATGTGTTTTTCCCGCTGATACTTACGTCCCTCTCCAAACAATGCTTCAAAACGCTTGAATATGTATAATTATGTAGAATATATGTATAGGATATCCTATGATTTTGAGAGATATCATTTTTATCCACGAGTTGATATCAATACCTATCTGGACGAGGGAGCCTAGCGACACTTTTGATGTCAACGATATATTTAAGATTTTACTGTATGGGATTGTGTGAAGGACAATTGTCATGTGAATGACATTCGTAACAGACTAAGTAACCACACATTGGGGGCTTTACAGGGGTGTTAGATGTAACATATGAGCAAGCAAACCAGTAAATTGAATAAATGGGACTGATTGCAGATTGATATGAATCACAAATTTTGACAAAAAAATGAAAAAATAAAACATTTTCGTTTGAAACGGTAGGATTTGGAGCATTTTCCGTGAAAATTGGGTGTAAAAACTGAGCACATTTAATGGCTACAGTATGAGACATGTTATACCTTTATAATTCGTCGTGGTAATCCTGCCATTCCCTCTCCGTTAAGCAGAATAACGACAAAAGATAAACTTTCCTTTGATAATTTCAAGATGGAGGCACCGTCTGTACAAAGCTAGCTCTGATTAAATTAGTTTGGTATTATTTCTTTTCGTTCAGTACAATTTGATACTCTGAGCTCTCAGCCCAGGTGTAAAAGGGTAGGAGGTCCTATCAAATTATGGTCCTACTCTCCATTGATTTATATGGTGACCTCAATACAACTCTTTCCCTCATTCTCTTATACGCAATCAGGGCCAGTAAGGGCCGTTAAGAAAGGGGACCATAATCCCTGGGGACCATCATTTCTTTCACACCGGGTCAGTAGCGTGTTCTATTCCCCGGGTTATATTCTTGTTTAACTATCAAATTCACACAGAGTGACATAGCTTGGCAAGGTGTGTCAAATTACAGCAATCAGAACCGTCAAATAATGTGAATGCTTGAGAAAAACAACCACACACCAACTCTAAATTTTCTAGCACCCGGGGCTTTTTTAGATTCACTGAGGTGCCAACTCAGCCTGAATCTCAGGATTACATCAATTTCATAGTTGAGAGTGAAAAGTCTGTGAATAGCCTCAAAGGGAATACTAGATAGATTTTTAGATTCACTGAGGTGCCAACTCAGCCTGAGTCTCAGGATTACATCAATTTCATAGTTGAGAGTGAAAAGTCTGTGAATAGCCTCAAAGGGAATACTAGATAGTAACAAGCCAGGTAGTGTACTTATGCAGATCAAATGTTTGAATATCAAATGGTTAGCGTTGACCTAGTTCGTTAACCATCACAGAAAAATTTCCACGCAACTCTTTTTACAATGTGTGAAAAAAGGGGGGGGGGGGCAGTGCGAGGGCTTTCATAACCAATAAAAATACAACCATTAGATAGAAGAAGAAAAGAGCTTTAAAATGCTTTTTATTTGATACTTCTATTTCAATTTTAAAGGCAGTTGCATCATTTTTTTAAAAAGTCAAAACAAATCTTTTTTTTGGCTAGCTTATGCCGCGATCGCACCCCACCTTTCTTGTTTTAAATTAATTAGTGATCGCATTGGGGGTCCAGTTTCGTCCTGTAGGCACCTCCTTCCCAGGGACCTCATTTTAGTTCAAGACAGGAATTTTCTGTTATGTTGCAACAATAGTGAAAATACCGTCTAAGCTTTGAAATAAATGGAACAAACTACACTCAGGCCCGTAGCTGCGTAGCTGGGGCCGGGAGGGGAGCTTGGCCAAAACTTCTTTCAAAACATCCAATTTTTACCATTCTGAGTACTTTTCAAGTGATTTTGGGCCAAACTTGTCAAATGTGAACCCCTTGGTAAAGATTGGCTACGGGTTAACATTAACACTGCATGTTGTTTTTCAGTATCTGATGTAACACATGGACTAGAAACATAACTAAAATATTTTGATAGTTGTGCAAAATACGTCTCCATTACTCAGTAGTCACAATAGTGAATACACAGGCTGGTATCGAAAGATTTGTCCGCTGTGACGGAGCATGCTATTTTTCGTAAAAACACTAAGAATGCTTCACACTTTATTTTTTAACTCATATGTTTCGTTACATCAAGGAAAATTACTTGCTCCATGCAATGGGTATATCATTTGCGGGTAACCTTCACTTCTGTTTGAAGTCCAATAACGCTAGGAGTAAAAGCTATTGAAAACGGCGCCAGAGTATCAAACTCTAAAATGTACCATTTCTTTTTAAACTTTTTAATGGCATGATATAGTGACACGATAGTATTAAAATATGTTTTCAGCATAACTCTAAATGTATTAATGAGATATTAACGCATTTCGTCTTTTTAATTTTCTTATAAAAAATAATACGAATATTTTTTGTCCGCTGTGACGGAGCATTTTCACAGTTTACATTTGCAACTGCTCCGTCACAGCGGACCAAAAAATTAAACATTATTTTTTATAAAAGAATTAAAAAGACCAAATACATCAACATCTCATTTATACCTTCATAGTAATGCTGAAACCATGTGTAAATATTATTGTGTCGCTATATTGTGCCATTAGAAAGTTAAACAAGAAATGGTACATTTTGAAGTATGATACTTCGGCGCCATTTTCAATAGCTTTTCATCCCAGCGTAATTGGACTTCAAACAGAAGTGAAAGTTACCAGCAAATGATATATCCATTGCACGGAGTAAGTAATTTTCTTTGGTATAATGAAACATATAAGTTAAAAAATAAATCGTGAAGTATTCTTAGTGTTTTTATGAGAAATAGCATGCTCCGTCACAGCGGACAAATATTTCGATACCAGCCTGTGGAATAGACAGTCTAACATTTAAAAATAAGAATCAGGCTTGGAATGAAAGAATGTCATGAAAAGATGGCAGTCCAGTCACCGATTCATATATTATAATGTCTAGTATTCAACTTGATTGACATTATAAGATCAACAGTTTTTTAATAAAAAAGCAACAAGGCATTAACATGAAAAATTTCACAACCTGTCATTTGTTACAGACGCTGGCCACAAAAAAGTATGAGATTATAACAATATGTCACCACTTGTGGTGGTGACATAAAAACAAAAAACGGAGATTAAGTCAATGGCAGACAATTTTAGTATCATAAGGCATACTGTAATATTTTTTCTTGTTTCTCTGTGCTATCCGCCATTTTTAATTCACATCGCGGAACGAAACAAATACAATATACATTCTTATTAAAGGAGCTCTTGGTTAGCACAGAGTGCTCTAAACTTTAAGTATAGATCAAGTCAAAGATTGATAAGTACATGCACATAAAACACTTTGGGATTGAAAGTCAAGTGGTGAATATCATATTTCAGTTTCTGTCGTTATGTAAGAATGGAAAGGTATTTTCCCACAATTCAAGACTAGAAGTCCAGAGAGATCAGCCAAACCCTACCACTCACTTTTGTTCTTTTGACTCGTAAAGTTGCGGAAATTCAAAAGTCTTATATTTCCTCAAAGTCACATCTTTGCCTAGAGGTAGCACAATCTCCCGTAATGTTGTTTGTTTGTGTGTATTTTTATCAAGACAGATTTGTTGAACAGGTATGAGGACGATACTGAAAATAACCAAACAACAACCTAGTAGCTCTAAAATATTGGAATGCCCGCTGTAGCTACTTTTGAAGATGGTATACTGTAGAAGTATTCCTTGGACTATATTGAAGGTGAAGATGATAGTAGCAATTGAAGCAGGTAACAATTTCATGGTGATGATGTATCCAATGTTGTAGCCAATACTCCCGACTATGAAGCCAATGATACATAACACATCATGGAGGTTATTTGGTCTCTTAAAGCCTTCGAAACATGTTCCCACAGCTGTGATAAATATCCCGACAGCACCCATACTGAAAAACATTTCAGGAGAAGAGGAGGTTTTCTTGATCAAAATGCTTGTAGAAATTGCCACTGCACTCACATTTATTAAATCGATGAAGGCAATTATATATCCTTGCCAAATTGGTGGAATGCTTTCTGTTGCATTATTTGTGCCAATGATTGAGTTTGTAGCGCAAATATTGGTAGTACCAATATTTGTAGTGCCAATGTTGGAAGTGCCAATGTTTGTAGTGCCAATATTTGTAATACCAATGTTTGTAGTGCCAATGTTGGAAGTACCAATGTTTGTAGCACCAATGTTGGTAGAACCAATGTTTGTAGTGCTATATGTGGTGTTTGTAATACGAGCGTTTACTTTTGAAGAATTATTCAATGTCCATAATGGTTGTAACAAAAAGCTCGATTGCATGTATTTGAAAATCAGATCAGGTTGTGTTACAAGTATGATCCCAGTTATACTAGTCAGAACTGCACATATTTTGATTAAGTTCAGCGATTCCTTGAGAAATATCCGGGAAAGGATAACAACTAGTACAAGTCTTCCTGAGCTCATAATGCTGTAGATGCTTCCCATCCCAGCCATGGTGCGCAGTCCAGCCACCAACATGACTACAGCACTTGTATATATAGCACTGTTTATTAAATTAAAAAGTTTATCTCGTGTTCTTAAAGCATTTAAATTTTTGTTTTTTTCTCCTTGAGTTTTAATCAACCATATTGAAGCCATGAAAAGATGAGGAATCATCCTGAGAAAGACCAGTTGAAAGTTCCCAATATCTCTATCACTGAGCTGCTGTACACATAATCCACCAAATGTTAGAGATGTAGATGACAATATCCCTGTTAGAATACCTAGCAATCTCATTTTGTTCTCAGCATCATTGGTACATTCTTTTAAAGTTATTCTCTAGATGTTACGTTAAACATTTTTTAAAAACAAAAATGTGTTTTTTTTCATTTATTTTATATTCTTCTTGTTTCTGCTATTTGCCAGATTTGACTCAGTTATATCAAATTCATTTATTTGACCTTAAAAACTGAATCCATCTCTAATAGTCAATGCCGGCAATGCCACCTTTAAGTCCCCTTAGATCCTCGACTCATGTACACGTATATGTAGATGTGTTTTTCTGATTTTTTTCAAATCCATATACACTCCCCTCCATAAGACTGGTGACCGAGGGTTCCCTTTTGGATCACTTTATCCATGCTTGTTTACGTTTGGCGACCGAAAAAAATTAAATAATATTTGCCATAGATTTCCGAACTATCATATTAATGAAGGAATTTAAAATGCTTTTTTTGCTATCCAATGGAAACCTCTGGTTGCTTAATTTATGTGAGGGACTACAAGGACACTTGAAGCAAACATGGGCTTTCAATTGAAAGCCCACCAGGCAAAGAATTTACTAACTTCATATGGCCTAATCCACCAAACGTTCGCGATGTCTAGCTTCATCGTTACACATTGATAGTCTAGTCTTCATATCCATAGTAACGTATCGGTAAAACATCAGTAATATTATCATGTTGAAAAGGCCCATTTAGCTCGTATTGAATGTTTGACACATTTCTTCTTATTGATACTGAGATTTGCCAAAAAGAAAAAGGTGTCGAAGTGACTTTTTGGGTAAAAAATGTGTTTTTGCAAAAAAAAATTTAAATTGATAAAAAATATTTTTGAAAACTCATTATATAAAATACAGTCTAGTTGACTCTCAAAAGTCGAAATATACCATGTTTAATCAACTTGGGGGGATTTTGGGAGCTCAATTATTTATTCTTTGTGATTTGCATGCAATATCGACTAAAACGAGTGTGTTCAAAACATGATGACACCATTAACATATTTTGACGAGCAGCTTAATCATGGTTAATAATTGAAATGTAAAGGGTTCCTTTATTGATACTGAGATTTGCCAAGATGAAATGGGTGTCAAAGTGAGTTTTAAAAGCGTTTTTTGCAAAAAAAATTAAATTGATAAAAATATATTTTTGAAAATTTATTATATAAAATACAGTCTAGTTGACTCTCAAAAGTCAAAATATACCATGTTTAATCAACTAGGGGGATTTAATCATGGTATACGCCACTTTTTTTTCAAAATGCTATCACTTTTTTAATTTTTGATACAAAATCATAATTTGCATACCAAATGAAACTTGAGGTTGTTATATAGCCATGGATCATGAATTATACACTTTTACTTGAATAAAATATGTCACCAGCGTCTCACTTAAACATGTGGTGTGCCATGAGAAATAAGCATAATTTGCAAAATGTTCCTAAACTGATCGGCCCTAATGACCGTCAAGCTAATAGCCCCAATGCAAACCCAAGTGAGTATAGGGTATGGGAAGGTCTCCAGGAGATGGTATGAAGGCACCCAATCTAAAAAATTGCTTAACTAAAGCTGGCAATTAAGACACGTTGAAAAAAATATAGCTAACATTTCATTGATACTGATATATTAGCAAGACGACTAAAACTAAAATCTATCATCAAATAGGGTGGTGGACCAATTAAACTCCTCTTTTAGATCAAATATAATCCCAGTTGAAGGACATGTTACATTATATTATTACTAAGAACCTTTGGCACTATATAACTGCAAAATTTGGGGTATGTAGGTTGGAAAATAAAAAAGTTATAGTCCCTTGAAAAAAGTGGCGTTTTTTGGCCCACCCTGTATAATTGAAAGGTAAAGGGTCCCTTTGATGATTCTGAGATTTGCCAAGATGAAATAGGTGTCGAAGTAAGTTTTTGGGTAAAAAATGTGTTTTTTTGCAAAAATAATTTTATGTTAAAAAGAACATTTTTAGAAAAATTATTATATGAAATCCCTACAGTCTAGTTGACTCAAAAAAGTCGAAATATACCATGTTTAATCAAGGGTTCCTTAATTGATACTGAGATTTACCAAGATGAAATAGGTGTCAAAATGTGTTTTGGGTGAAATGCGTTTTTACAACAGAAATTTTAAAATTGAAATATCTTTTTTGAAATTATATTTTAACAAATATAGTCCGATTGATTATAAAAGAAGTGAGAACAACTATTTGTTATCAATTTTGAGAGATTTTCGAAGATGTTTGAGGTTTTGTCTTGTGGTTTGTATCTTGCGAATTCAAAAGCACTTGAATTAGCGTTACTGCAAGGAGTTAAGGGGGTTGCGGTTGGTGCGATCTCAACCCCACCCAAAAATACAACCAAAAAAGAGACGAGAGGTTTAGAATGCTTTTTGAAGTTTCTAGGTCAATTTTGAAGGAGGTTGCACCAATTTTTAAAATACTACGATCGCAGCCCCCCCCCCTCAGCTGGTTGAAAGCGGGCTACGGCCCTGCTATGTATACCCTTTGTTTCATGTATATTCCAGTTCATACGTTAGTTAATGAAAACACCATATAATTATCTGTGATGTAGCGGATATCTACAATGAATATTTTAATGTATCCTCTATTATACAATTAAGAAGATACGTGGTCAATGAAATTTGTAAAAATTGATCATAAATAGGAAATCCTTTGATACAAAATTATCTTTAAAATACTTCTCTCAATCAAATTATCACTAACACTGAAAGCATCACCATTAACAATGTTAATTGTTGATTCAAATAGTATTTTATGTTATAGTCCATTTGTCACTCCTATGCATCCTATAGTGAACCTATGAATTGTTAAAAACACGATGTTTTTTGGCTAATTTATGACGATAAGGGTTGCCTGAAGAGATTTAGCTGGGTTGGACAAAAAGTTAGTTTGGGGAAAAATAATATAGGCTAATTAGTTAGGCCATTATTGAAATATTGATTGTTTTCTATATCCTGAAATGTAAAAATGAAAGCAGCATAATTAATTTGTCTAAACTTTTGTTTCAGGGTTAATGATATTGTTAAACTATACAAGAATAATCAAGGCCGTCAGATGGGGGGGGGGGGGGGGGGGGGTGCACCCCCCTCTGACAATTGGGGATTTTTTTTTTTGAAAATTATTTTTCTCTCTATTTTTTTCCCATTGACTCATACACTTTGAAAATGCCCAGAAAGCACCAAATAGCATCTTAAAATTGTAAAATTTTCTCACACCCCCACACAGACAATTGAAAAGTTCTGAATTTATTATGTATTGTCTCAGACACTTTTAAAGTGCCCAGACATCATCAAATAGCTCCTTGATATAGTCAATGTTTCTTGGGGACAAACACTTGCTTCTAATCTTTATTATTGACTCATACCGTTTTAAAGTGTCCAAAAAGCACCAAATAGCATCTTAAAATTGTAAAATTTTCTAGGGGGAGTGGGCCACGCCTCACACCCCCACACTAACAATTGAAATTTTGTGAATTTATTTTATGTATTGTCTCAGACACTTTTAAAGTGCCCAGACATCATCAAATAGCTCCTTGATATAGTCAATGTTTCTGGGGGACTAACACTTGCTCACCCTCTGGCATCCTCACCCAACCTCCCCTTCGCCCCCCCCCCCTAAAAAATTATGATTTAATCTTTTTTATTGACTCATACTTAGGTGGGTCAAAAAGTTTTGCAGTTGATGCCATAACTTCAAGGAAAATAATGAAACTTGGTACACATATGTGTTATACATTTATACATTATATGTTAAAATTTGGGACCTCAATTTTGATTGGTTCTTGAGATATGGTTGCTATGGTAAACAGAGTGGTGGGTACCATGTTCAACCCGAAATTATGTTTTTCCAAATAGTTTTCTTGCTTGAATAAACTCTTTGTAAAGTGGCAATTAGCAGGTGTAAGTGTCTTTGGGTGGCTATTTTTCTTCAAATTCAAAGGACAGACATATTTCATTAGAGGAAATAAGTGATTTTTTGGATATATCTAAGGGGTCCTGCCATACAATTGTCACAAAGATCTTGAAAAAGCGGTATGTTGCAGCAAAGTGGGTTCCAAAGTTCCTCACAGTGGATCAAAAGGAAGCGGCGTCGTCTTGCAGCACCTAGGCAATTTCTGGATACGTTTTGGCATCATTTCCAAATGCTCCCTGAACTTACTCCCGTCGAGAGCTACTTAGATTTTGAAAGTATACTTTCAAAATCTAACATGGTAGCTCTCGACGTGAGTAACCCTGAACCAGTTCATAAGTCTCTTGCAAAGTCTTGCCATTTTGAACCATGCACTGTATCAGATTTCTTTGCTTCTATTTCATCAATTTGGTTGGTGTGGAAACATCTGCCATTTTGAAAATTTTGGAAAAAAAATTCAAAATTTCCTCACTTTTCTATCTCAATTTTTCAACTGGGTTTTGGACAGTATACATCACAAAGGAACTTATCGTGTCACTTGTCTATTGTGATGTCATAGACACAATTAGAAAAATTGAAGAATTTGAAGAAATATAGCCACCCAAAGACACTTACACCTGCTAATTGCCACTTTACAAAGAGTATATTCAAGCAAGAAAACTATTTGAAAAAACATAATTTCGGGTTGAACATGGTACCCACCACACTGTTTACCATAGCAACCATATCTCAAGAACCAACCAAAATTGAGGTACCAAATTTTAACATATAATGTATAAATGTATAGCACATATGTGTACCAAGTTTCATTGTAAAAGTCCTATTTTCCTTGAAGTTATGGCATCAACTGCAAAACTTTTTGACCCACCTAAGTACACTTAAAAAGTGCCCAGAAAGAACCAAATAGCATCTTAAAATTATAACATTTTCTAAGGAAGTATGCAACCCCTAACATCTCCCACTCCGCACCTGAAATGTGTCTGAGACAATACATGAAATAAAATTCTGAATTTATTTCATGTATTGTCTCAGACACATTTCAGGTGCCCAGACTTCATCAAATAGCACTTTTATATGGTC